CATCCTGATCAGTTGGGTCCGGCTTTTCATCCATTACAGGCTCCTCTTTCGGAGTAACTGAGGGATCATATTCCTGTGTGTCCATTTTCTCCCGTATTACCTCTGGGTAGGTATCAGGGAGAGTCGGCTAAAAATATATTGGAAAGACGATCTATGCGATCTGCGGAGTAAAGTTCTCTATCCAAATCTTTCCCTTCCTTGGTTAGTAACGAGAGGTTTTGCATATTGTTGGTACAGACATATGCTCTTGCATCCGCGCACACTTTTTTGGCTTAGAAAAAAATGATATAACTTACATTTGGATTCTGAACGAGTTCAGCTGCACTTGGCTTTACATCAGTGCTGATGCTTTCTTCCAAAGTAACTTTTGCACGATCAGCTTCCTGAGAAAAAGGTTCTTGCTTCTCTACATTCGGCTGTGGGTATGGATTGAAAACGGGAGCCTGCATAGGCGCATTTACGACAGTAAAATCAATTTTAGAGTTTTTGCGTGACTAATTATACCGCTCTTCGACCCGCGCTCTGTCGCCAAACCAATCCAACCAATCAGAAGCGCAAACTGCCCTTACTCACCCTTGTACACGCCTCTGATTGGTCGGGTACAGACTTATTTGTCGACGGATGGTCGACGGAAATAGGCGCTTCGTCAGAACTGTAGGAAAGTGCCTCTTGATGTCGAATAGAATTGGTTTTGTCAACGCGTGGGAGGGGGACCATTTGAGACGCATCCAAATATATTTAAATGCCTACAAGGTAAATTTTATTCTCGAAAACATAAATCATGGCTAAATTTGAGTGTACCTTGAATCTAAGAAAGACAATAGCGATGGTTCTTTTATCTTTATTGTACTACCTATGTAGAAGTCTTTTCAGTCAGTTTTGTACGAAAATTCCCGATTTGAGCACAGTGCCGACCGACCCGGTAAATAAGAGAAGTTGCCCTTTTTTTTGGTCCTTAGAAAGGGAACCAAATTGATATGAACTTCTTCTAAGAGCAAACTTTTATTTAGAGAAAGCGATTTGAGCAAGAGGTCAAAAGAGCATCAAAAGGAATGCTTCGCACAAAAAAATCCAAGCAATTTCTCAGTCGGTCACAATTGCGCCTCGTAAAATCTTCCTTTTTTCAACTCATTTTTAATAGTCA